CTGCAGCAGGTTAATAATGAACCCTCAGGACCTCCTCCTCCTGCCCAGAGACCTGCTGCTGCTGGCATCGCCGAGGCAGCCGATGGAAGCTGCTCTCCTCTTCCTGCTCTTGGGGTTGGCAATGTCATGGTGTCAAACTGCTCCTTGCGTCAGTGCTGCTGCAGTCCTGAGAGGGCTGGAAAATGCCCTCCCACTGTGACACAGCTGCTGCCACCTCTGGGCAGGGATAGAGCCGGGCAGGGATAGAGCCGTCCCGGCGCTGCAGCACGTGGAGGTGGTTGTGCGCGGGGTCCTGGCAGCAGCCAGCCCTGGGGAGGTGGTTCCTCTTGGGGGCTTCCCACCATCAAGCCCTGCTGCTGGAGCACGGCCTCTCCTCTTCCTCCTTGTTCACCAGATGAGGTTTGTCCGTGTGTTCTCCGTGCAGACGGTTATCCCCAGGGATGCTCATGTCCCCGCAGCTCCCGGTTCTCATGTGGGAAGGACACAGTGGCTGCTGCGTGTGCAGGGGTGCGAGTGTGTGGGCTCATGGGGCAGTGGCAGGGGGGTAGGAGGGTTGCTGTGAAGAATTCCCCCCCTGGAAGATGTGGAGCCACCACAACCCTGTGGCACGAGCGGTTCCACAGTGAGTTACTCCTGTGCACACACCCTGCGAGGGCTCTATGGGGGTGTGAGTGACAGTGTCCCTTAGGGGGTGTACGTGCGTGTGCTGGTGCACTGGTGTGGGTTTGTGTCCTGCTTAAATAGATCAGGGAACAGGACTGGGCAGCTCTGGTTGACAGCGTGGGTCTGTCTGCCTGTGTCCTGCCTCTTGCACGGAGCAGAGCCCTGGCTTTGGCTCCAGCCTGGTCTGAGCTCTCCTTCTGGATGCGAAGGCAGGGTTGGGTTTGTGATAGGCATCAGCTTGATTTATTTATGCTGATTTTCATCTGTAGTGTTGCATGTCTAGACAATCTTCCAGAAAGTTAGCTTAGGTCTGACAGTCTCTCTCTGCCACCTTGTGATTGCTGATGGGTACAGGTAATCATTCTGCCTGTTAGCAAGTGGGGTATCTCTGTAATTTGACTGTCAATGGTCACTTTCTGATCTTACAAAGATTGATTTTTACGTTGTTCTTTTTAGTTAGAAGATGATGTGAATGGGCTGTTAAGAACCAGATGAGATGGATGGAGAGGTGCCCTGTGCTGAGGTGGATGGAGAAGCATACTCTGCCATGGAGGATCTGGGAGGAGAGGTGCCCTGTGCTGAGATGGATGGAGAAGCATACTCTGCCATGGAGGATCTGGGAGGAGAGGTGCCCTGTGCTGAGATGGATGGAGAAGCATACTCTGCCATGGAGGATCTGGGAGGAGAGGTGCCCTGTGCTGAGATGGATGGAGAAGCATACTCTGCCATGGAGGATCTGGGAGGAGAGGTGCCCTGTACAGAGAGCAGTGCTGAAGGAGACGTGTCCTGTACCAAGAGCGATGCAGCAGGAGACATGCCTTGTACCGAGAGCGATGCAGCAGGAGACGTGCCCTATGCTGACACCAACCCCAAAGAAGAGGCACCTCATGCTGAGAGCAGTGTGGAAGGAGAGATGCCCGGCACTGATGGCAGTGGGGAAGGGGAAATGCCTTGTGCTAAGAGTGATGCCAAAGGAGAGGCATCTTGCTATGAGACCGATGAGGAAGAAGAACCAGCTACTGAAATCCCTGCTGCTTCCAAAAGAATATATTCCATTTCTTCTCCCCTGCGGGCAATCATCCGCCTGCGCCGGCGCTACCACGGGCAAAAGAAAAGCCGTCTGCATTTAGAGCTCCCTCGAGAGAAGCCTTCAGAGCTCGTCCATACGAGGCTGCTTCAGAGGCAGCTTTCCCTGAACCGAACTGGCCTGTGTGGCCCTTCCATGTCCCTCTTTAACCAGAGCAGCTTTGAAACTTCCCAGTACTTCACCTTTGACACGTCTGTGGAGCAGTATGTGATGAAAAAATGCAGGCGGAAAAAGAATCGGAGGAAATCCAGGATAGTGCTGTACCCAGATAAAACAAAGAGATACCTGCCAACGGAGGAGAAGAGCAAGGCAAAACGCTGCCTCCTTTTGCTCATTGTCATTATCTTCTTCCAGATTCTCAATGCCATAGAGAACCTGGATGATAACCTCCAAAAATATGACCTGGACGGTTTGGAGAAAACCATGCACCGGGAAGTGTTTGGGCAGAAGGTTGCTGTGGAAAGCATTATGGAATTACTGAAAGACTACCTGGCTACCCACATACACAACAAGCCTCTAGTCATCTCTTTAAATGGCCCAACAGGAGTTGGGAAGAGTCATGTTGGCTGGCTGCTGGCCAAACATTTTCGTTCCATCATGGACAATGACTTTGTGCTTCAGTACTTTGTTATGCATCACTGTCCCAGCGGCGTGGCCCCGCTTACCTGTGAAATAGATTTGTCTAAGAAGATCTCTGACATGGTCACAAGAGCTGAAATAGAGGAGAAGATCCCATTGTTTATTCTGGATGAGGTTGAGCTCATGTCTCCAGTCCTGCTGGATACTCTCAGCCGCTTCTTTGAGCCCAATCAAACCAATGAGTTCCTCAACGCCATCTACATTTTAATAAGCAACTTAGGAGGTGGTGAAATAACCAAGTTTGTTATCCAGAATGCATCTGCTGAGATCCTGCATCAGCAAAGGGGAGCTGAAGAACTGCTGAGCATTGTCCAGCCTGTACTGATCGATGCTCACCCTCTTTGGAAGTCTGCGGATATAGTTCCATTCATCCTTCTGGAGAAGACTCATGTCATAAACTGTTTCCTAGAGGAGATGAGGAGGGAAGGGCTGTATCCTGACCAGAAACATGTTGAAAATTTAGCAAGTCAGCTCAGTTACTACACTACAGAGGACAAGCAGTACTCCAGGATGGGCTGCAAGCAGGTTGTGGCCAAAGTCAACCTGCTGTAGAGCTTTACTGCAGGGACCAAGTCCTGCTCTCAGGATTTGCAAAGTTCTGGGCTTCTGGAGGAGTGCGTTACAGCAGGCTGTGGTCAGGGTGTCCTCCTCAGCCCTGCACTGACCTTGTCCTGGTCCAGGTAGAGGGGTGGCAGCCTTGTGGTCTCTGTTCTCCTCCAGATGCTTCACTTGTTCCTAATGTTCTGTGAATAAGGCCTGGGCAACGAAGCCCAACCAACCTCCCATTAACTGCGAGATGCTTTGTTCCTTACATGCTCATTTGGGATACTTGTCATTAAGGAGTTGTGAGATGAGAACAGACGCTGTGGGATATAAACAGGAGTGGGAAGCAGTAACTAGGTTACTGTCCCTGCAGTACACGTAACCATTTCTCACTCCTTCTCCAGGCTCATAGTCTTCAGCTCTTGGCTTTTCTTGGTCCTGGCTGGTGGTGTTCAGAGCACAGACAGTGCTGGATGCCTGGGAGAATTGAGAGAATCATAGAATGGTTTGTGTTGGAAGGGATCTTAAAGCTCATCCAGCTCCAACCCCTGCCACGGGCAGGGACACCTTCCACTAGAGCAGGTTGCTCCAAGCCCCTGTGTCCAACCTGGCCTTGAACACTGCCAGGGATGGAGCAGCCACAGCTTCTCTGGGCACCCTGTGCCAGCGCCTCAGCACCCTCCCAGGGAAGAGCTTCTGCCTCAGAGCTCATCTCAGTCTCCCCTCTGGCAAGTTAAAGCCATTCCCCTTGTCCTGTCCCTGCAGGCCCTTGTAGTTGTGTATAAGAACAAAAAGGATTTGTGACTCCTCATCCCCCAAATGCAGGGCAGGCAGAGCTCTGATTCCTCCAGCTCCTACATCACCGCATGCTCCAGAGCCTAATTTTTGGATCTGTTCCTGAACTGTTGCTCTTCTGAGCTCATACCTGAGCTCACCTTTGGCACCTCCAGTGAGATTTGTGCCCTATGTGTCTGTCTGGGCTAGTCTTAAGACTGCAGAAATAACCACCGCATTGTTTCAGCTCTGGTGGTGGCAGCTCATCCCGAGGGCTCTTCTGCTTTTGCTCCTGGGTACCCTTCACCACCTCATTATTCAGGAAGCCTGAAATAGCAACTGACATATATTAAGCAACACACACTGGAAAAGACAGTTTGGGCTGTCTGGGCCAGGCACAGTGGGAAGCGCTTGTTCCCTTTTGCGTGAAGCCAAGAAGAGGATCCTTGACATTTAGACCCAGGGAAGCACCTCAGGAAAAGCACATGTCCTTATCCTGTGCAGGCAAACTGAGCAGGTATTTATGACACAGTCTTTTCAGGGTTTGGGTTTGTGCCTAAACCCCCTTCTACAATTTGCTGTGAATTATCCTCCAAGTAGTCCTGTGGATGTTTGCGCTGGTGGTTTGATTGCCTCTTTGTAAGCGTTGGGCTCCAAAGACTTCCATCACAAACTTCTGCTTCCAGAGCTATTGTCAGGAATGAATCCAAGCGATCCTGAATAAAATTTGAAGTACATTTCCTTTATTTGACTGAAATGTGCTTTTCTTCCCAAATTTCTCTTCTGGATGGATGTCGCTGCACTTCCATGCCTGTGCTTCCCGATGACTCACATTGGGATCAAGAGTTTCCGTGCAGTGTGTATGTGTGCACCTCCTTGAGGTGCACTTGTGGAAAGCCAGATCCATCCCCTGAGCTGCACAGGGAGGACAAGGCTGCGCACCAGCTAAGTGTGTCTTTGGCTGAGATGCTGCTGGGCTGGAAGGTCTGACCATCCGTTGCAGAATCCGCCTTCTCATGCAGAAGAGCCCATGAGAGCAGCTGGGCAGAAGGGCTGCTGCTTGCATAACTTAGGGGAAAGGCTGAATGAGACTAAGCCACCTTCTGAATGCAGTGGCCACAAAAAGTGATGTGTGCGAGCTTGTCTCCACACTACGAGGACAGTTAATGTGTTTTTATCCTGGATGAGGAATGGAAACAACTCAAGGACCAGGATTCCCTTCCTCTTCCAGCTGAGAGTGGGACAGAGGTTATGTCTCTTTTCTTATTATAGAATCACAGACTGGTTTGGGTTGGAGAGTACCTTAAGATCATCCAGTTGCAACCTCCTGCCATGGGTAGGGATGCCTCACACTAGACCATGTTACCCAAGGCTCTGTCCAACCTGGCTTTCTTCTACCAAGGTCTCTTGTTTCTGGGAGGGGAGCTCAAAGCCCAAGACTAGCACAGGAGAGACAAGCATCACACACCCTGCCTGGGCTTGGGAGCTGAAGTGCCATCAGTGTCTATAGTGCTGGGCTGCAGGGGTGCTGCAGAGTAGGCACCCATGGGTGCTGGATTGCAGATGGTTTCTGTCCTGTGCCTTTGTATTCCCCAAGAGCTGGGTGCTGGGTGGCTCTGGGCTCACTGGGAGCAGCCCAGCACCCTGTGGCTAAGCAACATAGGGCCCGTCATGCCTCTGCTCAGGGAAATCAGGGACATGTCTCACTGTCTTGCCTCCCCCTCCATCTCACCCCACTTCTGCACATCAACTCCTTCCCAAAGCAAAGCTGCAGAAGGCATGGGGTGCATAGGTGCCCTGGGCACCCTGAGACCCACTCAGGTCTTTGCCTTCCACAAAGCTCAGTGCTGAAAAGTGGGGCTCAGCTTTGTGCTGCATGAAGACCACCTCATCCCTCAGCCAGCACTGGAGAGGACAACCTGGCCAGAGCTGCACACATGCCAACTCTCCTCACGCTCCCAGCCCACACCACAGCTTGTACCTCTGGAGACCTTCGTCAGAAAGCACAGGAACCTCCAGGCTGTGGAGAGGGTTCTCCCTGCCAGAAGATAAGGATGTCTGGCCAGGTTGTCCCCAGCCCCAGCTAGCCCCAGGACTCGGATCCCAGCTCAGTTGGCTCGTCATGTTGTTCCCAACCCCAGTCTTGCCTAGGATCCCAGCTCAGTATCTGTCCATAGTGTCCTAGACCCCAAGCTGCTGTGAGATCCTCTGCAAAGCCACCAGCCCTGCCAGGCACTTTCAGGGCAGTGGAGCTGGCCTGTGGACAAAACACTGTGCTGAGCACCAGGAGCCTGGTGGCTCATTTCTCAATGCTGTGTGCAAAGGAAGCTGGTTTGAAGGAAACGAGCAGTTCAGGGGACAAACCTCAGAGTGTCCCCTAATGGCTGCTCTCACAGTAAGGGAGAACTTCACAGCTCTGCCAGCACCGCTGGGGTTCTCCCCCTGCACTGGCCATGGGAGCACTCTCCTGCTGCTCAGAGGCAGGAGAACCTCTCGAGGAGTCACTCATCACATTGCTCATCACATAGCTAGTCCTGCACGTACCCGGACACTGTGGCACACACCTGCTGTAGGGCCGTGGTGATGAGCTTGGCTGGAGAAGTCAACAGCTCCTCCTGCAGCACAGCTGAGGCTGGAGGATCAAGCACAAAGAGAGCTGAGGCTTGTCCTTGGTCCCACTCTGTCTCTTGGAGGCTCGGATGCTCCTGGCATGGGACCCAAGGCTCTTCTGGAGAGCTGTAACTTGATGAGTATGGCTGAGATGCCAGGTGTATGGAAATGTGCTTTCACCATAGACTCTGTCCTCCTTAGCCTGACATGGACTTCTTTACCCAATTGCATTTTCCAGGGAAAATGCTGGTTGAGCTGGAGGGATGGGATGGAAGCTGAAGAAGGGAGAGAACCCCAGCTGAGGGCACTTGGGCTGCTGGTCCTGCTCTTCCCCCACACAAATGAGCTGGGAATTGAAGGGCTGGTGGGCAGTCTGGACTCCCTCACTTTGGAAGCATCCCTCATGCCTCCCGTGCACTGTCAGCTCCCTTTGCCCAGTGAAGGGCTCCTTTCTTTCCAGTAGCACTGGGTCATGGCTGTCACAGGGTGCTGGGACAGCGGGTCCCAAGGGTCCATGTCACCAGGATGGGTCACCCTCCTGTGGCCAGCTCTTGCTTCCTAAAGCACTGTGCACTCAGGAGTGCGTACAACAAGCAATGGAGTAGGGGGACTGCAGAGGGTACCATGCTGTGCTGCCCATAGACTCATCGATCCATGAGGGACCTCTTCAGCCTTTCTTTACTCTTAATAGCTTCTTTGTAACCCAAAGATCTGGAAATATGACATTGTAGGAGATATTGATAGGGATAAAAAGAACTCCTGGGCCTTCATCCAGCTCCTGTGCATCTCCCAGGTGAATGGGGGCTGCCTGATGTGTGGGAGCCCAGAGAAGCTGTGGCTGCCCCATCCCTGGCAGTGTTCAAGGCCAGGTTGGACACAGGGGCTTGGAGCAACCTGCTCTAGTGGAAGGTGTCCCTGCCTGTGGTGGGGGGTTGGGACTGGGTGAGCGTTAAGGTCCCTTCCAACACAAACCAATCTATGATATACTTGATACAGACGTGGGTGTAGGTGTCCCTGGGAAGGCTTCCTCAGTTGCAAGAGCTCTTCCTGAGTCACACACACCTTCCTGTCGTGCTTGGAGCAGTGATTCATGGAAAGCAGCTCCTGCCCTGCTGCAGGCACGGCACTTCCTCTAGCCTTGAGCAAAGCCAGCTGGTTCAGTCAGCAAAGCAGCACTGGGATAACCATTCCCCGTCACAGGCTGGCTGCGGCTCATGGGGAGACCAACAGATTCTCTGCACCCTACAACTGCATCCCAAAACCAGAATGGGGTATGGGGCAAAATCCGGTTTTACATTTCCTCTGGGGAAAGTGCAACATGATTCCCAATAGGTGAATGTGGGAAGAGCTGCTGCTACTGCCTGTGAGAGCGTAACAATGATGGAGGAGGGTAAAAATAAATATGGAACAGTGTCTTGCACAGCATGGGAATTGTGACTACATTGGTCACAGTGTGGTCTCTTGTGCTGATGGCTTCCCCAGGCCTGGGCTCAGGTCAGAGGGGCACAAGCTGCATTCCTATCACGTATGGTACTGTTAGACCTGGACAGAGCAGCTGGGCCACCTCCAGCAGCACCTCCCCATAAAGAAGATGCACCAGTTGGCACCAGCTCTGGAGGTACCAA